ATATATATATATATATATATATATATATATATATATATATATATATATATATATATATATATATATATATATATGAATATTAAAAATGATGAACTGGTATCAAAGACTGTTTGAACATTTTGCTATCGTTATGACTACAGAACAGGTTTTATCAAAATGATTTAAAGCTGCATACTAACAATGTAGCATGCAAACTAGAATAGGCAAGCATTGCACTCTAACATTACAATGGTAGTGCTCTAGTTTGCTGCATCGCTTGCAGTGTGGGTGGGTGGAAACTCTTCTGACCCTGACCCCAAATAAAACCACAAGCAGTTGTTGTACCTTTAGTGCGCGGTGCAGAGGCGGAGCTGACAGTTGAGGCTAAAGAAAAGCGGCGTGTAACCTCTGTCTCCTTAGGCGTGGGTTCTGAAGTGAAAGGAGGGGGTGAGTTAGTAGTTAGTCTGATTTAAGAGAAAACAGGATGAAGTGGTGAAATGAGAGACAGGATGATATATGCGAAGAAAACCTATTTGAGGTGGATTAAAGTTAGCTATGTTTAGCAATGGTTCTCACATGTGTGGTAGAGTTCGAGCCTCGTGCCATTTCTCAATACTGTCTTTCCTATTGATCTCTCGCTCTACTTTCTACCAAAATAAAGTGATGATAGTAGGCCATCTAAAGCACCGTTTCCACCGCAGGAACTAGGGACATTGGGCGGAATTCGATGTGTTTCCACTGCAGGAATCAGGATCTAAATAAAGCCCCTCAGAAAGTCCCTGCTCGCGAGGTAGTATTTTTCCAAAGGTCCAGAACTTTCGGGGGCGGGACTTAGGCGCTGAGCATGCTGATTGGTTGAGATCACGCAGTATTGTATTTCAACCACCATATATTCGCATAATTTTTTTTAAATATTAATTAAGCGTTAGCGTTAGTTCTGGCAGGTCACGTGAGTCAAGCTTGCATCAGCTGATTCTCAGCTGATCACATCTACCTATAGGAATACGACACCTATCGCAGCATTCCTATATAAGCTCTATTCAATATTATTCAGCAGCTTTTCAGCTTGCTCCGGAGCAAATTACCCTCCTCCATCCCCAGTGCCTCCTTTCGCCACAGTCAGGACTTGGCTTTCTAATATTCCTTGCTAATCAGACTCCCTTATCTTGAATAAAGTGTTACACTTAAATATCATTAAGTACATTAATGATATCTGTCTTGTTCTGTTCTGTTAACCCTAGAGGGGTTATTATTGCTGCTCTTCCTGCTCATTCATGACAGGCTGCATGGATAGGCAGGGAGGTTTTTGCCCAGAACAGAACCATACTGTCAAACCAAACTTCATGCTAAGTATCTATTTTGACGATAGTGGTCCTGACAGTACTGTTATTATGTCATGAATTGGCATTTTAAAAGTATTTCAGGTGAGAATGTAGTAACTCAAATCTGCAGTTTATTTATAAAAACAGCGCCTATTTGAAAATGTGCTTTGCCGATTTTGGAGACGTGAGCTGCCTCAGTGCTTCTGTTTCCCGACGAGAGCAGCCTCAACTCGGCTAGTCCTTCTGACATTTGCCGCTGGCTCTGATGTCTCTGTAGTGGTTAAACATGAGATATAATTCGTTTTGGGTAAATCTAATAGGTCATCTTTGGTCTTTATTCTATTAATCTATTAATATATAAAAAAGAAAAGAGGCAATACTGTTTGATATAATATTTAGTTTCATTGTAATGTATGTACGTTCCCTGAACTACATTTCTGCGGCTATTATATGTTTAAATGAAAATGAAAAGAGGCAGTGGTGTTTGATTTCATATTTCGTCTTATTGTAAATACAGTGAGGAAAATTGCAGTAGCCAAGGCGAGCTGACTGATGTTATCAAGTACACTGCTGTTTGCAGAATTACCGGACTTGCGTCGTCCCGTCCGCGGGAGTTCACACTGAGTCTAACTCGCAAAGTCTGAAGTACCGAGGATGCAAGTCCAAACTTTGCGTACTTGGTATTGAGAAATGCGCGCAGACCTACGTCACAAGACTATTTGCCTAATCTTCTCGGTACTTTAGACCACGATGGAAATGCAGACAGCAACAGGTCTGGGGGGAAAAAAGTTCCTGGGACAAATAGTTCCAGGTAATTTCGGTGGAAAAGCGGCTTAATATAGCTAGCTAGATAGACAAACAGACAGACAGACTTAAACTTTTAACATTTTGCCAAAACAATGAAACACATTTGTAAGCCTCACTTTGGCCTTTAGGCAATTCAAGTCAATGGCACCTATGGACTAAGTGAACATCCTACTCAAAATGCCAATACTGTTTTGAAAATGTCAAGAGAATAGTGTAAGCTCAGTGTAACACTACACTGTGACGTCTGCTTGAGCTTGAAGTATCTCAGTTCTTCTGTTGTCTTCAGGGGAAGCTGACCTGCTTTGCACACAATTCAGATTCCTCTGAGAATTCAAATGTTCTGTGATGATGACAAAGCTCTTGAGGTTGCTGCGTTCCTTTCAGAAGTCACACACATTGGAAAAAAGGCATAAGTGATCTCGGAGGCGACTGACAGAGAGTGATGACAATGAATTTTAACAACAGGGACAACAGGCACACACCAGGATGAGATGATGGATGAGGCCAAATAGAGACAAGACATGATGCCGTGCCGTTACCTGCGGGGAGAGACCTGCGGTTTGACAGGCCCTGTAAGGTGAAGCGCTTTCTAGCGAGAGCATATCGCTCTGAGCCGAGGCTGGCTGATGCGTCAGCTATAAGAGGAGAGGAGGACAGGACTGCAGTTAAAGCAGCAGGTAGAAAAGTGTGGAGGGTGAGGTGAACAGCAGGGAAAAGAGATCAAGGATCTGTCATAAAAAATAATCGTTTTGTCTGTGATGGAGCGGCACATATATGCTGCTTTTGTTGTATTAACCCATTCAAGTGATATCGGGTGTTATGTTTCCCAATACAGTAGAAAAGCAAACTTTTTTAATTACCTGCCAAAAAAAACGTTTATTTACCTATCAATTCTATGCGGCACACCATGGATAAGTGATAACTTTCCAGATATTAGATATGTCCAGATATTAGACCTTCTTGGAAACAAAACAGGTCTCAGGATCTTGTTATACATATATAAGTCACATCATACTGTACAAAAACATACAGTAGAAGATGCATTTTTTAGATATTTTAGGGGGAAAAAAACAATTCCTGGAGGTTTGACTGAACGATCAAACTTGGCTTAAAATAAATCAGAGGTGATAAATGCACTAGACTGAGGAGACATTTAAATAGCTGACGTTTCATGGCTAAACCAGTATTTTGGCCAAAATAAACCACATATATGACTCTTCAAAAGTTTGGGTTAATAAGATTTATTTTTATCATTTAAAAAAAAAAAATTAACACTTATATTCAGCAAGGATGCATTAAATTGATCAAAAGTAACAATAAAGACATTTATTATGCTACCAAGGTTTTTTATTACAAATAAATGCTGTTATTTTGAACTTTATATACATCAAACAATCTTTAAAAAATGTATCATGGTTTCCACAAAAATATTAAGCAGCACAATTGTTCGCTTGATAATAATAAGAACATTGATAATAATAATAATCAACCTATTAGAATGATTTTGAAGGATCATGTGACACTGAAGGCAGGAGTAATGATGCTGAAAATTCAGCTTTGCATCACAGGAATAAATTACATTTTAAAATATTCTAAAATAGAAAACTAAACTTAACTTAATTTTTTTAACTAACTTTTAATATTTAAAACAAATCTTTAAAAAACAAATTTTTTAAAGGTAGTGTATCTTTTGAAGATTTTAAGAATAGCATATAAATTGTTATTTATGTCTACAGCATAAATTACCATAGATAAGTCAAACTTTTGAGCAGATATTGTGTAGAATATTGAGAAATATTACAGATAATATATTTTTTAAATAATTGGAATTTCTTAGAAATTAAGTAAATAAATATTTCATGTTCATTTCATTTGTGTGAATAAATTGTATAATATCTGCATTATATTATACTCTGTATACTGCGTCAGCAGCAGCTTTTGGGGGAAAAAAAGCATCGGGTAATAGCAATCTATAACATAAGAGATATTTAAGAGTCATCAAAGACTAAGGTGAGATATGTTTTTGAGTGTAAAACATCTCCAGCCCAGGTCAGAGACTTGTAATCCTCTGCCTCGAGGCTGGGTTTGGCTGGGTCAGCATACAGAGGACTTCTATCCTCAGAGGAACTAAACACCCGTCACAATCCTTTACTCACTTAAAATCTGCAACCTGACAGGACGGTAAGACCAAACCGAGCGATATTTACCCCAAAAAACCTCTCCAGACGCCAGCACACGATGAAGTACACAAGAGCAGTCCAAGTCAGACCAACCGACACGACAGAGGACTCAATACATTCAGCATTATAACTGAGCTTCATCGCAAAATACCAGGGCCGGATTTATCTCTTTTTGTGATATAGGCAAAACTAATTTTTGGGCCCCCCTTCCCTATTAATATAATAGGCCTAATATGACCACCCAAGCAAACAAAAATATTTCTTAATCAGTGGAAACCGTTACAGTGTTTTCTATCGCAATAAGCGCTTGCGTTTAATCAATAAAAATCGAATGTAGTTCTTAATTTGTTTGAGAACTCAGAAAGACCATTCCATTAATAGGTGCGGCGACGTGGCCACATAACCACTTCGGGAGTGCATTATTTCTCTAATAATTTTAACGGCCTATGCAACCAGCACCTCAAGACATTGTTCAGATGATTTATTTTAGGACATTTGACATGTTTCTGTCCTCGTGTGTGTTGAACTAGCCAATTTTTACGCACCTCATCCCAAACCTTCCGTTGCAAATTCCAAAACGTAATTTTAGAGCTAGTAACAGAGGCTTGAGCCACTGATATGCAGGCTAAAACAGTTATTAATGCAGCCTAACGCAGTTATTAGAGGGAGAGAGCGAAAGAGGGAGAGGGAGGGAGAGAGAGAGAGAGATTAAGCGCGTGTGAATACTTGCGTCTGTGCATCTCTCAGCAGTATTCAGCAGCAGTGTCTACTAATAGCGAATCTTTAAGTTGAACTGCTTCAAGAACCTCGCTACTGAGAAATGTCATGCGAAACTATTTTATGGATAAATTCGTGGGGCAGTGGCAGCTCTGACATGAAGTTTCTGTCCGTGTCTCCGCGTGTGTGCACGAGTGCGTGTCTGTACTGTGTGTGCGCGTGTGAGAGAGAACAGGAGAAAGAAATTGTGATTTTCGTAAATAAAAATGGTTGAAGACATGGAAATAGTTTGTCATTTTTACCCTATTGTTTGTTATATTTATTTGCTCAACGTCTTCTGGGGTTTTGGTTCTTTTACTGTTGTAGATATCCCATAGTATAACAAAAGTATTATATATCTCTTCATTGTGTTTGGGCCCCCCCCTGGACGAGCAAGCATAGGCACGTGCCTAGAATGCCTATGCGTAAATCCGGCCCTGCAAAATATCTTGCCAAGGGGGATGAGGCTTTGAAGTGCTTTCCAGTAACCAATTATCCGTTGGCAATTTTACAGCCATTACAGCATAGATTAGAGATAATGGCCTAATTAAGGAAAATGCACTAAATAGTTAAAAAGTAGGAGAGAGGAAGAGAGACAACACTCATACAAATGCCCGTAAATCCGGAGTGCTTGTTGACCACTGCAGGCTCTGAAGGGCGAATACTTCTGATTGTTTGGTTGGAGAAACGGTAGGTTTTATACTAGATTTATAAGGGCTCTCACCTCGTTTATGACGCATATTTGGGCCTGTATCACTACGCCTGTAGCCAGTTTCTGGACTGGAAGAGTCAGACTGCCGGAGAGCTGTTTTGCGCATATTTCTGTCAATAAAAGCAAAGTCAGCAGAACACAATGGTAAAAAAAATAGATGCAGATGGCACAAAAATATGCGTATGCATGCAGTGGCCCCTGAAGTATTTCAATTATCAATCAAATTAATTCACCAAAACGTTGCATTTAAAACTATAAAAAAACTACAACCTTGTGAAGACTTACAGAAAACTTTTGACCTCTGTCATTGCCAACAAAGGGTATATAACAAAGTATTGAGATGAAATTTTGTTATTGACCAAATACTTATTTTCCACCATAATTTGCAAATAAATTCTTTAAAAATCCTACAATGTGATTTTCTGGATTTTTTTTCTCATTTTGTCTCTCATAGTTGAGGTATACCTATGATAAAAATTACAGGCCTCTCTCATCTTTTTAAGTGGGAGAACTTGCACAATTGGTGGCTGACTAAATACTTTTTTTCCCCACTGTATACACTATTGTTCACAAGTTTGGGTTCAGTAAGTTTTTTTATTTTCTTTTTTAAGTAAATTAACACTTTCATTCAGCATGGATGCATTCAATTGATCAAGAGTTACAGTAAAGACTCCCAAAAATTATATTGCAAATAAATGCTTCTCTTGTGAACTTTGTATTCATCAATGAATCCTGAAAAAAATTAATGACAGATTCCACAAAAATATGAAGCACCACAACTTTTTTCAACATTAATAATAATAAGAATTGTTTCTTGAGCACCAAATCTGTATATTTAAATGATTTCTGTAGGATCATGTGACACTGAAGACTAGAGAAAATTCAGTTTTGCCATCACAGGAATAAATTACATTTTAAAACATATGAAAATAGAATAAAACATTTTGTCTAAAAACATTTTAAAAATCTTACAGACCCCAATCTTTTGATGTTTGGTTTACAGAAAGACTTAAATCTGAATAAAACAGATAATGTCCTTAGTACTGTACAGCGTTAGTCAGAAGTGTGAGTCACTCTATTATATCCACCATAAGTAAATATACGTTTGCATCTACAAACAAAGAGTAATTTGGTTTGTTATTAGATGCAACTGAATAAATACATTTTTGGAGGGAGGAGGAAGTAAAACAACGGTACTAAAGCAAAAAGATATACTCATTAAAATTACAAAACAAACTTTCTGGCTGTCAAACATTAATGTGAAGAACTACACCCATGGTTACCCAACTGAGACACCGGTGTAAACTTAAGGGAAGTTAACTTTACAGTACATACAATAAACACCACACTGGGGCCAGTTAGATAAGAGCAAAATTAAAAATGTCTATAAAATACCTCATGGGAGCATGGTAGATGTTCTCTGTAATCTTCTGATGGAGTTGACTGGCTTCTATGCCGTGAGAGAGAGAGAAAGGTCATACAGGGGTCATTCAGTGTTCACATACTATATTCACACAGCACACAAAACACCTCAAGGATTTGTTTGGTTTTGGATGTTGATTTCAGTACCTTTACTAAGCAATAGGGCTGCACGATGATGACAAAAATCATAATTGTCGATTATTCCCTTGAAATTGTAATTGCGATTATTAATTACGATGATCACAATTTACATTAAATGATGTTTATACCATTGTTTGATGCAACTGCATGCCGTATTTTTATATGAAAATAAACAAGCTGAAAACACTAACTGAAAAACCTTTAGTGCTTTTCTATAGTATTAAGCCTCAAATGTCAAATATACATCGGACTGGTTTCTTCTTTAAATTATAAACAAACAAACAAAAAAATATGAATGGTATTATAATGTTATACTAAAACTAAAACTATGGAAAAACCCTTAAGATAACATGTAGAAAGAAAAAAAACATATCTTAAAGGGGTCATATGATGCGATTTCAAGTTTTCCTTTCTCTTGGTGCATAAAGAAGATCTGTAAAGTTGCAAAGACTAAAGTCTCAAATCCAAAGAGATATTCTTTATAAAAGTTAAGAGTCAGCCACGCCCCCCTAAAACGGCTCGTTCTAGCACGCCCCCACATATCTACGTCACTATGTGGAAATATTAGCATAATGCCACCCAGATGTGCACGCAAAGAAAGAAGGTGTGGTTTCAGGAACAGCAGCAGTGTTGATGCAGCCATGCCAGGGAGACGCTGTGTGATTCAGTACGAAAGCAAAAGCACTTTATTTGGCCTTCCGGAAGTAGATGCAATTAGGAATCATTGGTTAAGATTTATTTACAACAGAACAGCACAACCCAGATGTTCGAATTTGTGCAACGCATTTTATGGACGACAGTTTTTTGAACCTAGAAGAGTACAAGGCTGGCTGTGCACAAAAGCTATTTCTAAAAAAAAAAAAAAAAGTCGATTCCGACTTTGCTATGACAATCTGGTGCTTCTGAATCAGCGACTGTAAGTATGTTTTGTTATTAGTTTAAGTATTTGCTATTGATTGTTCAAATGCGGAGTTTAGTTCAGCGCAGAGTAACGCGTTGTGTGTGTGTGTGAGGGGAACAGGGTCACATCACAGGAGAGTGAACTGCCTGTCAGAAATCATAGCACGTCAGAGGCTTGTGGACTGCATCATCACTGTGTCTGTCACGCGACTCTGTTGCCCTTTCGGGCTTGAACTGATGGTAAAACTAACGACATTATTAACTGTCTTGATATTTACTTTGAAAGCTGAAGCTGCGATTATGGTAAGGGGCGTTACATTTGCGACGCGTGCTTGTGGTGTTCGGCCAATCACAATGCACTGGGTCAGCTGGCCAATCAGAGCAGACTGCGCTTGTCAAAGGAGGGGGCTTTGTTGAAAACAACGTGTTTGAGAGAGGCGGGGCATAGAGGACCTACAATAATGTACAGTATTTGAATTATGTTTTTTGAACATTAAAGCATGCCAACATATTCTGTTACACCAAATACACAAAATAATTATCTTTAAAATAGCATCATATGATCCCTTTAAGCGTGCAGAATAACATAAGTGGACTCCATAATTGTAATTGCGATTAGAAACTCGATTAATTGTGCAGCCCTACTAAGCAACCATGAAAACTAAAAACTTTAGATAACATCATGTTATCTCTATCTCACTCACAACAGCCAAATTCTTTCTTTAGGGGTTTCCAAGCACTGAGAAGAACTGTGTAAACAGTCTTTTTTTATGCAAAAAAAGTTAAGAAGGTGAGGTTGTTTCAGGTTGTCATTGGGAGTTCACAAGTAATTATGGCTTTACATGGCAAATAAAGTTTTCTTCAGGGTAGCTTGTAACAAGTTAGACAAAGTTTTTTATTAGACTGAGACCACGTGAAGGGGAGGTTTGCCCAGAAATACCTCGGCAGGCTTCCAGCTGGCTTGTTAAGACTTTGCGGATCTCTGACACCCACGTGTTCTTCACTTCCATCGAAGGGGCCTGACAGAGAATTCAGGACATGTTATAACAATGGGAACCTTTCAGTTTTGGAGCACTGTTGCCAAGTTCCCTCTCATGGCCAATATACGGAACAACATGGTACTTCCCAAAAACAATATCAATTAGATAAAATGATAAAGGCTGACAGGGCACCTATAAAATGCACAGGAACTTTCACAACAGCATACAATACAATAACGGACTCAACAGTTGACCAACATTTGGTCAACAGAAACATTTTTGCATGGTCACAAACTGTTTGGACCCCACTTTGTATACTCAAAATTATTTATTATGTTAATAAAAAACAATTGTGTGTCTTGTGACATTGAGCTGTACCTGAACGATGTAAACTTCCTCCCTGCCATTGTACCAGATTTCAAACTTCTTGATGTCTCCCTTGACATTTTCTGTGATTCCCACCGAGCTCATCTAGGGGGAAAAACACACCACTGATCAGTTTCTCACCTGATCAAATGTAATATGATTTAAAATGTGTTTTTAGCTTGTCCCACACAAAATTTGCTATTAATCATTTTGATACACTAAAAATAATTACTTAGATGGAAATGATGGCTGTATTGGGAAGTCATGGCTATATATATATATATATATATATATTTCTACAGCCACAGGGATAGTAATTTTGTTTAGTAGATCCTATATATAATATATATATATATATATATATATATATATGCATATATGCGCGCACACACACACACATCTCTCTTTTTGAATCCATGTATACTGCCACAATAAACAGAAAAAGATGTTTAATATTTGCTCTGAAAATAAATGAGAACTTAAAGCAAATAGGAAGTTGCTACATTGTTCAGCGTTCAGTGTGCCTTCAGTGTAGACATGAAGCTCATTCTGTACAGCCAGACATCAACCAATTCATTACTTTCATAACTTCATCTGACAGTCAGTGACAGGGTCCTTCCCACCTTTAATGAGTGCTTGAAACTGTAGGAAGGGGATTTCTCATGACCATCAGATGTCTCCTCTCGTTTCTTGCAGAACAAAAGCATTTTGTGGTAGAGGAATAGATGTCTCTGCATGGGTTTGAAGCGCGCCAAGTCCTTCACTTTACTGTGACCTTTCTTATGGTCTGTCCAAACATTAAACGACCCCTGCATGAGCAGTTTTCCCAAATCATTCAGATTGCCCTGAAATCACACGTACAGTAAGACTTAAATTAGCACACACACAAAAGCAGGTTCACAACATGCAAAATATTGACCTTCACATACCGTATTTGTTCAACATAAAAATTACTGCGATAAACATAATGTAACCTTATGAACCTCAAAACCCGTAATGGCGATCTGATGCATGGAGTCATTGACTGATTTGATGATGTCCAGCATTGTGGCCAGAGCTTCCTCCAGCTCAGCAGTGCCCTCTGAGTTCTTACTGCACTTCAGCATCTCCTGTAAAATGAGTAGAATGTGTGTGAAAATAAAAACCGGTTCAATTAGGGTTAAATTAAAAGATAGGTATCAAAACTCAAATGTTCCCAATCCAGTATTGCAGGTTGTGTGGTTCCCAGAAGGAAAATAGCTTCATAAAAGTATTAAATACTGTCTTATTTTAAATGTAAAATGAGTGAAAGTTCAGGAGTAGTATATTAGCGTAATTTAAGATCAATAAAAGTAATCTGAGCGGTCGCCACGTTGATATACAAACAAACATATACAACAAACTAGAAAAAAGATGGGAAAAGACTTACCTTTAACATCAGTTGGTACTTAGTGATTCTCTGCACAGGCTTTAGCAGATATGCATCTAATGAAAGCTTGTGGTCCAACCTTTTCTGACACTCCTACATCAAAAATAAAAATCATTAGGGAAGTGAAATTTTCACATACAGAAAGTTAGACTACCGTTTAATAAAAAAGTGGGCTCAATAAATAATTTTTCTTAGAAGAATTTACTTTTATTTAGCCAGGACTGATCAAAAGTGACAATTTATATTGTTTAAAAGAACATTTGATTTCTATTTCAAATAAATGCTGTTCTTTTGAACTTTTGTATTCATCAAAGAACCCTAAAAAAAGCATCACTGTTTTGCACATATATTATGCATCACAACTGTTTTGACAATAATAATAACTGTTTCTTGATATAGTTTTGTGACGATGCAACAATGACTCGATTAGGCAAGTGACAATTCTATCGACTGTCCCGAAACCCGAGCAAAAGTCTTGTATCGCAGCGTGCAGTAGTGCAGACGAGATGCGCTGTTGTGAAGCCGCTTTGAGAGTGAGAGAAGATGAGATACAGCTGAATCACTCACGCTGTTTTCAAATGACTGATTTAATCTGATAGTATGTGTGGATTTATTTACTCATCTAACCTACATGCTCTATTGAATATGTTTGCAGGTATTTCCCTCATTATAAACTCGAAAGCAGATTGAACATAATTCTATTATACAGAGATTTAAGGAAAAAAATCCATGAGTTTTCCAAAACCTTTCCAGGCCTGGAAATGGCTGTTTTAAAATTTCATGACTTTTAAAATTTTTTCATGACCGTAAGAAGATGCACGCTGTTAATCGAGTAAGCTGGTCCTCCATTGCGAGAATGCTCCGTTACCTCTCCCTCCTCTAATCATGCCGGATCCGTCACCCGCCTTTGTTCCGGCACCTTGCAATTTACAAATTAAGCACTGTGTATACATAGGTGTGTGTACATAAGCCTCACCTGAAAGAACATACTGTCCCCACACTGCCGCCACAAAGCCTCAGATCGCGGTTTATTCTGACAATATTTCTCATAAATCTGTAACTTTTCTTTCTGTTAGACAGCAGATGGAGACAAGCGTTAGGATCCCATTTCACATACTGTAGGTGTACTGTATTTCACAGACCACATCTCCATGATGTCACTCACCCGCTTCAAAAAACATGTTCCTACTAACTCCGGCTTTTCTGCAGTATTTTCCAGCTCTTTGAGAAATATTCTGTCAAAACATAATGGAACAAATGAAACAAAATAAATAACTAGAGGGAATGAGAGGACAACAGGCAAGGAAATGGCACAAAGAAAAGGAAAGGAGGGAGCTTGGTAGAAAAAGTGTTTCACATTTTTCAAAAGCATTAGAGTTTTATTTCTTCAATGTAAGATATATATAGAGAGAGAGAGAGAGAGAGAGAGAGAGAGATTGCTCTTTACCAGGGCCTGTAAAGCTCCAAAAAAAGAAACCTTACACAAAGAAGCACCTTACAAGTAGTATAATATAATAATAATAATAATAATAACAAAATATAATAATAATAAAATATCATATAATATTTTAAGTCTAATGATTGGTCACCATTCATTATATGAAAAAGAGTAGCATTAATATTCTTCTAAACTTCTCCTTTTATTTTGCACAAAAATACAGGAAAGACAGGAGGTTGAATAAATGATGCCAGAATTTTCAGTTTTGGGTGAACTATCCCTCCGCTCTCCTTTCACTGAATCATTGCATGACTTCTAAGAAAAGCCTGTTTATATTTCATCTCTGTCAAACAAATCAATAACTAAATGAATGTCCAATATCACCAACAAACACAAAAGCCTTTGAGAACTCACGCTTTCATTACTGACATAAAAGCACAAAAACAAAACTACAGCTGGGAATGATGAGCAATGATTAGCAGTTGTTTATCTGTGACTGACTGATGTGGTAGAAACAGGTGCTGGGGAAAGGCATTTGGGGATACACACAAACTTGCTTGGGGGGGTTGTCATTGTCATAATCCTGGACTTTGCTGTAACCCGATACCAGGTGGGAGACAATGAACTCTACAAGAATAATCGGTAGCATAAGGCCAGCCGAACAACGGGCCAGCTAACCCCTATGGATAATTAGTGACACTGACTTTACAATCCAATACTACAATCCACAAAACCCCACCCCCATTCCAGACACATTAATGTGTGTCTCTCACTTACTATTCAAAAAAACTCTTTGTGGTTAAGATGACTTCCTTGAATTGTGAGAGTGAAGTTTCCTCTATATGGAAGTATCAGAAAAGAAACTAGTCTAACCAGTTGTCCAAGAGCATCGTCAGGAATGTGGGAGCATATTGGGGGAGGGTCTGGCTCATACTGGAAAAGGGTGCAATCCCTTCTGGAAAAATCCAGCTTGTGCTGCTAGCAGTGTTTTGGAACATGGCAGCTGGTTTCTAGCTGGTGCAAACTGGTAAGAACAGCTGGTGGTTTGTTGCTTGTCCAAGGTGGTCTACCAGACTGAACCAGCAAATGATTAGTTCTGACAAGCTAGAAAGCACATAGTATGTCCTTAAGTTGGAGATGTGTCCGAAAAAAACGTTTCCTTACTTCTGGTGAAATTCGTAGATTTCAGGCAGATTTCCGAAGAGGACTTCTTTCTTGTTTTCCAAAGATGGTGGGATCAAGTAGAACAGCTCGGGGTCATCCAGTGCGGCGGCATATCCCTGCATAAAAAATAAACATGACAACAAAACCGCAGTCAAATATTTCAACACTGCACCACAGATGTCTAACTGATATAACTACATCTGATGCACTTATGACATTCATTTACATTACTTGTACAATTTTTTATTTGTGATTTGTATTAGATCTGTATGAGATTCCGAGTCATTTATTAGGTTTTTAACATTTGTCAAACATTATTACATAGGTGTTTTTAAAATACTTTAATATATATCCCGTGATGCAAAGCTGAATTTTCAGCAGCCATTGCTCCAATTTTTAGTGTCAAATGATCCTTCAGAAATCATTCTAATATGCTGATTTGCTGCTCAAGAAACATTTCTTATTATTGTCAATGTTGAAAACAGTTGTGCTGCTTAATATGTTTTGTGGAAACTGTGGTGCATTTTTTAAGGATTCTTTGATTAATAAAAGGGAAAAAATCAAAAGAACGGCATTTATTTGAAATATAAATTTGCTGTAACATCTCTACTGTCAATGATCAATTCAATGCGTCATTGATGAGTAAATGTGTTCATTTCTCTAAAATAAATCTTACTGTTCCCAACATTTTGAACGCTACATGCATTTGCAATGTGTGCCAGTTAAACTGCAATGGTTTGCAACAACAACATTTCCTGTTTCCTGAGTTGAATTAAGATACATGTACCTCTATAATGCTCTGCAGCTCTTCCACGTACAGCCTCTCCGTCTCAATCAATTCATTCATTATGTGGCTGTTGAGAAAAGCAAAAACAAACACAAAATCTATATTTTAAGGTCAGAACATTGATGTGATGAGAGACACCGTTTAAGATGAAAGCTGACCATGAAAGTGAAGATGAAAGTATGAACATGACTCTCATAAAGCCATCCAACTATATAGTGGAAGGTAAGGTTTGTAGAATACTTCTTTTTACATCCGAAAATAAACAAAGCTACTAATGATGGCTGTTACACTTTAACATATTTTGCAAATCTGGAGCACTGACACGTCATCTAGCACTAACAAAAAAAGGACAGCTCAGTTTTCATTTCTGTGTCATTGCTAAAATCTCAACTAGTTTGTTGCAATTCAGGAACTAAAACTCAAAACGTCTTCAACATTTTGTTCTTCCTATAAAATGCGAGCTACTATAACACCTCAGATGACCCTTCAGAAATCAGATTTTATTTGATCTTATTTTGTCTTAACCAATTCTCCTCTAACACAGACCAAGACCAATTAATTACATTTATTGTGCTGAGGAGTGGCCTGCTTATGTGCATCAGATGACCCAAGTTCCATGTTTCTGTCAGAGAAGGCTCCCTTTTCACAGTTTGTTCACATGATGAAGCTGGCCAATGTTTAAAAAAAGGCATGTACTTTCCCTCCTCCCACCCATAAGGAAACACTCCCGTTCAAATAGAAGCTCATCTAGCACTACTGCTTTCTGAACAGTCGCAACAATACGAGTGAAGTCCAGGGTTCAAAAACAAATACTTTTACACGTTTACTACATCATGGATGGGCCACAGTCTCGATGGTAAGTCATGTATTTCACTTAGTTTTTGACTAAACAGAGTTTCTGCCAGATCTTTCTTCTGGAAGCCAAGTACAAAATGTCTTTCCATTGGTATGGCAAGCCTTACAGATCTCATGCTAAATTTACCCAGTAACTGTAAGTCAGAGTATTAAATGCAATTTTCGGAGAGAAAAAAAACAACAAAAAAAACCACCAAGCCCTTTTTCGGGTGAAATCAGTCTGTTCTTTTAAACATGCTGTAAGTATCATATGATTGTCTGAGCTATTTAAATGTGAACTTTTGCTTGGGGTGTTTTTCATAGGAGTCACTTAGTGTGTGTTTTATAACATTTAAAATGCAATGTAAATACAGCTGAGAAATACTTGCTGATGAAATGTCATAAGAGATTGTGATCATAGAGATAAAGTGGGCAAAGCTAAAAAAAAAAACAGAAGTTGAACAGGTCATGAAGAGTAAATATACTTTTTAATGGCACAAAATTATTTCAATTCATTATTGAAATTTGTGAATAAATTCACAAAAAATGACAAGATAATGAAAATAAGGAAACCAACTTCATTTGTACAGCACAGCACACAAAGCAGAGACATATTAAAATCTACTTTAATAATCTTTTTTTATGTATAACTTTTCTTGTAATCCTTCATTAATGTATAATAATTGCAAAGGACAGCTGGTGTGAATAGGTGATCCAGTTTGTCAGATGATACCTCCTGCTCCTGGCACTCCTGGCTCCTGGGATATTATGACATGCATTGTTGTTGTGTCGTGCCTTTTGAGTAGATTTGCTGCTGTAATGATCTTTTCGTGGTCGTGAATGTTTTGTACAGCACTCAGCAGATCAGTGTGTTCGGTGGTTTAAAGCCTTCTTTTATTCAACGTAGCGCTGAGTCGACGATTGCTTTCATTCACAAGATCGATTCGCAGAGTCCCCCCACATGGTCAAGGTTTTGAATGAGCTATTGCAACAAATGCTGTAAATAGGCATTTAAAAAGATTGTTGTTTTGAAAGCAAATAGCTTATATGTGACTGCCATGATTTTAAACGTTTTTTTTTTTAAGAAATTAATACTTTTATTTAGAAAGGATGCATTAAAAAAATCAAGTGACAGTAAAGATTTCTGCAATGTTACAAAAATACTTCAAATAGTTCAAATAAATGCAGTTCTTTTGAATTTTCTATCCATCAAAGAAACTTGGAAAAACAGGATTGAAACATTCAGAATCAGAAATCATTTCTAAAGGTTCAAGTGACACTGAAGACTGGAGTAATGGCTGCTTAAAATTTCATCAGGAATAAATGATAGGATTTAAAATAGAATACGTAATATTGTAGAATCTTTATTTTTACGGTATTGTTGGTCAAATAAATGCAGCCTTGGTTAGCATCTAAGAGGCTTCTTTCAAAAAAAATAAATAATAATAATAATTCTTACTGACCCCAAACTTTTTAATGTTAGTGTGTGTAAATATATAGTATTTACAGTTTAAAAATAATAAAATAAATATATATTAAATGTATTTTTGCTATTATTGTTATCAGTTTCATATAGTTTATAATCAACAAAGAGACAATTCAATGAATTAACTTCATAAATGGCCATAAAGGGTGTTTCTTAAATTATGATTATAATCTCTATACCCTTTGAAATAATCATTCTTCTTTCTTTGCAGAACACAAATGCAGTTTTAATGCCATTTAGTGGATTGTCTTCACTCCGAAAGCACGTAAGAATTAACGTTTTTTGCGAGGTGTAAAAAAAAAAAAATGGACTCAAAAAGGCGGAAAATGTTTTGGGTTAATGCTTCTGGTAGGCCAACCCATCTGCATTGAGATAACTACAATGGAACTCAGGTATATCCATTCCTGGAAAATCATTGAGAGCAGTACATCTGGATTGCATTACTGGACTTGACAAGAAAGAGGTGTCGAGAGCGTGCGCAGCCTAGCAGAATGTTCATGAATTGCAGAAGGGTGAAAAAATGGCATTTTCTACAGCTTGTCTCCATGTGCTGTGTCATGTCAGTCCTTATGGTTTGCTGGGACCATGTGGACCACCACGTTGTGAGCCACGTGAAGTCGTACTCCTACCGCTACCTAATCAACAGTTATGATTTCATCCACAAAAGCCTCAGCATCAGCCCAGAGCAAGCCGCTAGGTTTGGTAGCTACCCGTATTTGCTAAACAACAAGGACATTTGTAAAGACAAAGACGTGCTGCTTCTCCTCTTTGTGAAGTCCTCACCAGGAAACTTCAGAAGACGACAGGCCATACGCTCCACTTGGGGCAATGAGTCCTACATAAGACACAAGCTGGGTGTTACCATAAAAGTAGTGTTTGCAATGGGAGTTCACCCTGACGTGCTCTCTGATAGCTTGCAGCAGAAAAAAATGCACAAAGAGTTGCACAAGGAGCACATGAACCATGGTGACCTGGTTCAGCAGAACTTCCTTGACACATTTCACAACCTCACTGTGAAACTGCTGCTTCAGTTCCGCTGGACACACGAGAACTGCGTCCACACACACTTCCTCATGTCTGCTGACGATGACGTCTTCATCCATTTGCCCAATTTGGTGCACTACCTTCAGGACCTCAAAAGACAGAACGTGCGCAACCTTTGGATCGGCCATGTGCACAGGGGGGCACCTCCTGTTCGGCGCAGGGACAGTAAGTACTACATGCCTGTCGATATGTACCAGTGGTCGTCCTACCCAGATTACACCGCCGGAGCAGGATACGTTGTCTCTGGCGACGTGGCAGCCAAAATCTATCAGGCCACGCTATCTCTGAATGCCTCTATGTATATCGATGATGTCTTCATGGGTATCTGTGCCATTGCAGTAGGCGTCTCTCCTCAGGAACATGTTTTTTTTTCGGGTGAGGGGAAAACGCCCTATCACCCGTGCATCTATGAAAAAATGATCACCTCTCATGGACACGAGGACGATATCAGGTATCTGTGGAAGGTTGCGACCGCCCCACAGGTAGAAGGTATTTCGTCTGGACTGGTCGGGAAACTCTATTGTACAGCTGTGAAAATGAAGCTGCTTTGTAAGCCGTACTTTACAAACACGTATTCATGCATGGCAGCTTTTACATGATGCACTGTGAGCTTTATGAAGTCCGAGCAGTATTTCAGCTTTTTTTGCTTGTTTGTTTGTTTTTGTTTACTTTTGCTTTAAATGTTAAATATTTTGTCATTTCCCAATAAAGTTCAAAAGCTATGCGCCCTAAGCATTTGTTTTGCACTTATGCTTTTTTTATTTTTATTTATTTATTTTTTCATGTACAGTGTCGGGCGAGAGAGCATGAATGCGATGGTAACATGACGGGCATCAAATGCATATTATCTACATGAACATGACATGAGTCTCACAAAACTTGTCAAGGTCATATTTCACTCCAAACCCCCCCCCCCCCCAAAAAAAAAATAATTAATAGGATATACATATACAATAAAAATAGATAGTGATTTTGAAACTGTTATGATTTTTCCCACAAATTCTAATCACCATAATAAAAAAATACTAAGAATTATCATGAATTGAGAATGAGAATTACAAAACTAAAAAATTATAAGGAGAAAATGAATAATAAAATGTAATTAATACTTAATATGAGTAAAACCAATATTAAAACCAATATTAGCATTTAATTAATTATTATATTTTTTAATCAACATGAAAATAATAATTGAAAAAATGGCCACAATACAGCCTTTTTCTTAATCCTTTTTTAAAAAAATTTTTTATAGTCATTGGAGTAAAATGGGCTTGGACATGTTTCATGAGATTTAGCTGTGGTCAGGTTCTCTTCTGGTGTACTGTTAGTTTCAGTTCCTTTGTATTACACCATCGTAACGGTATAAGACTGTATTCAGACTAAGAAGGAAGACTTTTCATTGTGGAATGCTATTAGAGAGTGTGTGGACTTTCTTTCATGTTACAAATGTCATATGCTTCTGCTTAAAGCTCTCAAAGCTTTCAATGAAATGATGATAAAATGGTGCTACTTGTGAAGAAGGATTTTAACAAGTTACATTTTGCTACAATAAATCAAAGCGTATTGAGATTTATTGCATTGTGTCATTATTATCATGACAACTAACCCTCAAATCTCATCACCGTATACAAAATAATCTTATTCTTGGTACTATAATGTGAAATTACTGTATTACGTGAAGTGACATGTGGCCAAGTATGGTG